CCCTGGCCCAAGCCCTGCCGAGCTCGGCCCGCGGCCCGCGCTCCGGCGCCCGCCTTGCAAGTCTGCGGGCTGCGGACCGAGCCCGCCCCCGCCGGCTGGGGCTGAAGCTCGATCTCCCACCTCGGCACCTCCTGCCCGTCCGCCTCCGCCCCCGCACCCCCTCCACACGCGCACACGCCGCCGCCAGAGGACGCGCCCCTCTGGGGGAGCCGGGGCTCCCGTCCCCTCCTCCCCTTCCCCGCTCGGCTCGCGGTTTCACTGCAGCGGCGGGAGCTGACGGCGGCGCCTCAGCCTCCGCCTCGGCTGCTGTCGGATCCCGGGCTCCCCTCGTCCGAGGCGGGTCCCCGAGGAAGTGAGCACAGCCGCAGATAACCACACTGTAAGATGTAGAGGTCCTGCGCTGCAGCCCCGCAGCCCAGCGCGGGCCCCAGGACGGGGGCAGCGCCTGGGAAGTTGGGACCGGAGAGCGGGGGAGGGGAGCGGTGCAGCCGGCGGCTCTTCTGGAAGCAGGGAGTCGCCGGGAGCCCTGCGGTTGGACACAAGTTTGCGTAAGAGTGTTTTCCTTTTGTCAATAATTAATCACTGGACTCAGTCTGGCAGAATTGGAGTTTTAGCAATAATGCAGAAGGCGGGGCTGAGCACCTAAGTCTGGGAGTCTCTGGGTGCCCCGGGAGAGAGCAGCTCAGGACCGCTGGGGAGGAGCCAGAGCATCCGCGCTCGCCGCAGCCGCGGGGAAGTGCCCGCAACCTGGAGGTAAGCTTCTTCCCTCTTCCTCCTTCAGCTGGGAAGCAGCTCGCGCAGGGCACAGTTCTTGTCTTTACAGAAGGAGGGGCTTAATGCTAAGCTTTGATGCAAGGTATCAGTTTATTATTTAACTGCATGACAATTTTTTAAATGAAATGGGTTTTTCCATTTGCTTTTTACTATGTTGAAAACGAAGATGTTGCCCTCAGTAGAAAGCAAACTTTGATATCGAAACTTTCCCAGCCAAAAGAAAATTATTAATTATTTCCATTTTTTATCCATGCTGTTCAGTAAGAACTATTCAAGAAAATATCTTTGAGTTTTTTTTATCTTTGGGTTTTCTTAAATATTCATCTTTGTCTAGTTTCATGCCATTATGCAATACTTTTTTTGCCAATAAATTGCTTTAGGCAATGACATACACAAGTCAGCTACCAAAAAGGTGAAGAATTTTCAACCCAAAATGGATTTTAACACTTTCATGATTATTAAGCAGGATGTATTTCCTCAAAAATGCCTAAGTGATCCTTTATAACCAAACTTCAGCAACTAAGGAGTATGATGAACTTTGCTTACAGATGGGGTAGGGGATTAGGGTAAATAGATTGCAGTGAGACTTGAGTGAGATTCCAGATTTGTTTCAGTTAAATTGGCAATCAACTAGTTGTCAGTGCACGCACAGATGAGCCCAGCTCACGATCAAATAAAGAATTTGAGGAGCTGTTAACTGTAAAATCGTAGTCCTCAAAGTCCTGATAAATGCATCAAGGAAGTTGACAAGGTTGTTTTTCTAAAAGACTTCATGGTACAGTAGCTATTTTGAATTAAACCAAAATTAAGACGTATGTGGTAATTTTTTAAAATGAACTTTTAAAATTTATGCATAAAACTGTTGACGTTTTAATAACTTGGCTTCCACCTCTGAATTATTACTGTGCTTCTTAAAAAGCCATCATTTTAATGGTGGGTCGTTGTCTTTTGATACTAATGCTTTTGATACTCATGACCTTTGTACCTAGACTACCGCTAGGCCACCAGCTTACTTGGGTATGAAATGCGCTGTCAGTCTTATTCTACACAACTACTTAATAACAATAAATTAATACAGAATGTCAAGCCAAATGCCTGGCTAGTTTAGAATTTTACTGCATGTGAAGTTGAAAGTCAATCAGTCCTCAGCTTTCACTGTTTTCTTAATCTGCTGTTTATAAATTTGCAAACATTTTTATAAAAACCACCCTTTATACTTCTGTAGCCATTTTACCCTACTGTCAGCATAAACTGTTTTAACACATCTGCACAAGAAGCAGAATCTTTATTAAATAGTACCTAAATGAGGCTCAAGTTCTAGAAAACAGTGGTGTAGAAATCTTTGCAAACCTACTATTTACAAAAAAAACAGTAAATGGTAAAACTTATTTCTGGACATTATCCTGAAGTAATATAGCAAGTGAGGAAATATTTATTCGAGACATTTAGCATTTCAGTAAGAACAGCAAGAGCTGGTGGCATTTGAGCCACGATACATTTCCCACCCTCCTGCATCGTGTGTGACAGTGACCCACCCGGTTGAGTGGTGCTTCATTCTGAGTAAATACAGCAGGGAACACGGTATCCTCTCCCAACCTAGTCCCCAGTCTGCAGCCACAGCAGATTCCAAGAAGAAGCAGGCCATCCACATTTCTCATCCTCTTCAGCTTTCCATTGCGCAAGTTTTGCTGCAGGCAAGACCAACTGAGAAATCTGGGGCTTTCTTCTGTCAGCCACTGGCCCACCCACCACTCTTGTGGCCAAAGATGAAGAGTTTAACAATAAAAAAAACAAAAAGAAAACCATTTTAAATTGGACAAAGAATTTGATATGACCTTTTTCCAAAGAAGATATATGGTTGTTATGGTTACACTTATAGTTATAACAACAACAACAAGACATAACAAGTGTTGGAGAAGATGTGGAGAAATCAGGATTTACATAGAACTTGGTGATAGAATGCACGCCTAGCACATGCAAGCCCTGAGGTTGATCCTCAGCACGCATGCACGCAAAAACGGTACGGAGAATTTGGAACTGTCCTGCATTGCTGGTAGGCGTGTAAAATGATGACAGTGCTGGAGAGGGCAGTTCAGTAGTTTCTCAAAAAGTTGCACAGAGTTACCAAATAACTCAGCCATTCCGTTCCTAGGCACATACTGAAGAGAACTGAAACTCACATACATGGAAGAACTGACACACAAATGCTCATAGCAACGTTGCTCATTATAGGCCAAACAGTGAAAACAATCCTACTGTCCATTGAATGAATCCACACTTAGCATATCTATAGAGACACAAGGTAGACTAATTCTGCCAGAGGCTGGAGCGGAAGGGAGGGTTGGAGAGAAATAGGGGGTAACTGCTAAAGGGTACATAGGGTGTCTTTGGGGGCAATGCAAATGGTCTAAAACTGACTATAATTATGAGTGTGTAATTATGAACGTCATACTACTAAAAACTATTAAATCATACATTTTAAGGTAGGTGAATCATATTCTATGTTAATTATATCTCAACAAAGCAGCTTTAAGAAATTATCCAAGGCAAAAAAGAATACATGATTGTAAAACTTCACGTGCTTAGTCCTCCATGTAGCACTAGACCAACAGCTTCTGTGAGGCTTTTTTTCCCAAGGGGACACATTGAAATATGTGAAATAATTAAAAATGGCACAGGTATTACACAGCTATATGATTTGCATATGAGCTACATATTTGCATACCTGCCCAAGCTTCCTTCTATTTAAAAAAATAAATCAGATGTCATTAAGATAGGCCTATACAGAATGTGCATGCAATGTCACACCATTTTGGATTTATCCATTCATTGTACTGCCCCAGAACCTGTTATGATAATTGCTCCTTCTGCTTGTAGAAAAATCTGTTTTTTTCTGCTCTTCAGGCCAAATGTTGAGTTTGTGATGGCCCATACTGAGTGAGAGGGGGTGGCGCCAGAATCTCAGTAAAAAGTATTCTTGTCCCTGCTGGCATCGGCTGGTCTCATTAAACTAGATTGGCCCCGAAAGCTAGAGGCTTGGAGGAGCCAGAGGAACCGCCACTGCAGAACTCACAGCACTGCCCTATCCCTGCTGGAAAAAATCTGCTATGGGTATGACCTCAAATGCAGGAGAAGTTCCTAAAGAACTACTTCATTTCTCTAGGCATCTGTTATCTCACCAGCTTCCTGAGACTGTACTAAGCATGGAATTTGGGGACAGTGCCTTGTCCTGAGCTAGTAATGTAAAATTAGTGAGGTAGTAAGGTAAAATTAATTACACTAATTACATTAATTAATGTAAAATTAGGTAGTAATGTAAAAAAAGTCCTGTTATAATGGAGCATTAGAAGCAGAATCACATGGGGGCCATGAGCGTGTGCATACGTTGCTGGAATAGTTATGGGTACACTGAACAAAACAAACCACCTGCTTTAGGAAACCTCAAGCATTTTTCATTCTCACCAGACAGGCTTATCATTCTCCATCCATGTTTTGAAGAGCAAACCATGGTGCTATAATAAGTTCTGTCACCACTTTTGTAGAGGTTGTATTGTCATATTTTGTGCAATTACAAGGTTTCTATAGAATAATTTTTAATATCTAGCCATTTGTCTATGAGTTAGATACATACAGGAAAGTTGTCATTGTTATTTCTGTGTTTTGTTTTCATCAAGATTGAGATTCCATTTATTCGACTGATATTTATTGTACGTCTATACTACACCAGGACACTTTTAAATAATAAATAATAAACATAACAGACAAAAATTCCTGCTTCGAGAAACTTAAATTATAGCAGGGATGTCAAACATCAACAATAAGTGAATGCATACTTTAAGAAAAGGAGGTAACAGCTCTAAAAAAAATAAAAGAGAGCACAGTGAGATACACTTTTAAGTGGTGATACCAGGCTAGGAAGTAAGATTCCCTAATTATATACAGTTATATACGCAGATCACACACAAACCTGTCCTGCCACTGTTCTGGTACTGAGATAGTGTTACCAGATAGCGGGTACTGGGCAAATTCTTTCCAGAATCCCAGGGAACGCAGAACCAGATAAGACACACAGGAAAGATAGCACGGTGTGAATTTATGGAAGGCAGAAAACAAGCACGCTCTGCATAGTAACAGCAGGCCAGTGTATAGACTCACAGCCCAGGAGGATAAGGGAAGGGGTCTTGTAAATTCCTGGATTGGCCTCTTTCTCATGCAGATAAGGCACTGGGGTCGTTGTCCTGTCAAAACTCACTTGGCCTGGTGCCAGATTTAAACTGTCCTTTAAAAGACTTGCTTGGTTTTATGCCAGATTTAAGTGAAAAATTGAAAATAGCCCTTTTCTGATTGGTTCCCTGCACCTTGTTGAAGAGATGCAGAGTCATCCTGGATGTGTTCCACTCACGTGCCCTGGACCTCCACGACCTTGACAGATCATGCCCCAACCTCATGCTTCAATAGGCCACAAGGACTGCCAGCTCCAAATTAACTTCTTTCTCTCCCTTGAGAACTGGGCTTCTCCTTCCCATTAGTTTCAGCCACCAGCATTGTTTCGCTACCTAGGTATTCCATCAGTTCCTGAAGGAAAATATATCATCCGCAGCACCTGCTAAGCAGGCACAAGGAAGAAATAGCCCAACACCTGCACGGAAGAATTACAGCCCAAATAAAACAGTGTCCTGTGATAACAAAAATTCCCACTCAGTCAAGTAAATCATCAGCCTGGGCGTTGAGTTTCCCCTCGGCCTTTTTCTCTAGTTTTGCTATGAATTCTTGCAGCCTTCCAAGATATTGTGCATAAATAATTAAGATCTGCTTCCGTATAGTTAAAAGCTCTTGAAAAGTGAGAGTACAGACACATAAGGGAAGAAAACCTGAAGGGTCATCTTGAAAGGTCAAAGGAGGACACCTCTTTTCAAATTACAGAGAATAAGTAGAGCATCAAATCCCACAGATCAACTAGAGGGAAAAGGGGAAGAAAA